ATCGGTGTTGAGATATTGCGTTGTCATATGCACGCTGCTGTGAGATTTCCCTTTTTTTGCTTTTTTTATCAGGTGTTCAGTCTATTTGTGTACTGAAAAGCTGAGAACAAAGAAACAGCACACAGGTGAAACGAAATTGTCAGAAGCAGGATATTTATTTCTGAAATAAAGTAAGGATGTGGTACAAAACACAAATGCGAGCGTGACTTCAAAAGTGACATACTCCTGCCCTCCACAACAAGTTTTCGAAACTGTGTCGAAAACAAACAGTGGCACCACTCACAATCTCAAAGTAGTGTCACACTGCTGCGTGCGAGAAGTCAAAGCTGGAAGGTGCAAGGCAGAAAACTAGGTCACGCCCGTAGTGCACCGCTTGCAGCCTTTGTGCCGTCCGCTACTGTGCTACATACCAGAGGCATTTGCGAAAGTGAGACTAGATTTATCCAGACTACTGGCATGTTCACACTGGCGAATGGCGTAAATCACGCTTTGGTTGAAAAGCGGTCCGATTCGGCGAAGTCGCTCCCTGACCAAAGCTTCAGCTTTATGACTGTTGCCGCAACGCTGATGGAGCAGTCAGGCGTGCAGGAGCGACACATTTGCATACGCTTCAGGTTATTTTACGTAGCCCTAGTGGTGCTAGCAACGCAGGAGACTACGCGTGCGATGTAGGGCACGGCACGGCTGCCCGTGTGCTCATCAATTGCCACGGAGAGGTGCTCATTAGACGGGGGCAAATTTGTGTCAGTCGTCGGTGTGAACGCCACCTCAAATGTTTGCGTCTGACCGCAAACGAGACAGGATTTCAATATTAGCAGTGTGGTCACGTGATGGCAATTCAGCATGTACATGCGGAACTATGAGTGTGATATGATCGTTCTTTCGTGTTTCGGTGTGATGGGACTACTCATTTTGTTCGGTACAGTCAACAACAGAACATAGTCAATCAACGCGTGCCAAGTATTTTCTAAACCGCTACATGTTATCGTCTAAAATTGTGTTAGCGTCTATAACAATGATTGTAAAGCATTTGCGGAAAAGTTGTGTAACTATGCTCCTGCCATTAAATATGGCGGGCAAATTGCCACGTGTAGTAGTCAATAATATTTTCGCTTGCTCCAGCTGCATGTCTGTAACAACAGATCTTTTCAAGCATACATCAAATCTGGTGCAAAATTAGTTACGAGCACGCATACTACTAAATGATTCGAATGGATATTTTCCTGACACAAATAATAAACGCAGCGCTCCAAGTACATAATCCAAAAATTATAATATCCTTAAATGAATATTGACTAAACTTATGTTTTGTTTTATTTTTCAGCTTAAACTCATTTCATGCACAATTGTAACATGTGATTACACCCGTATACATTGTAATTGCAAAAAAAAAAAACTTTGTATAAGTAGGCACCGCTGACTTAGAGGATAAGCATGTAAGTCAAAATAAACGCACAATTCATGATCATGTTGACTTGCCGTAATGGCTTCTTTGCAAACAACGTTCAAGAAAACCATCCAGTTTGCGCCCACCAAGATGTACAATAAAAATTGCTGGCAATGGGAACAACACCATTTTAACTTCATGAACCGACATGCTTAACAGACTATCACTGAACCATTTCACGGCACTTCAGCCAGGCATGACATTTAAAGCGGGACGTTTGTGAAAAATACATAGCACACATTGTTGAGTTATCGTCGTCATTCCTCATTGCAGACAAGCTGATTAGTGAACATAATAACATCAGTCAAAAAAGTCACACAATGAACATAATATACGTCTCATGGAGGCACAAAAAAAACGTATGTACACATTTTTCGCAGTCTCTAAACATAAATTAAGCAAATACCATAAATTTCCACAGCTTGTTTATCAGCAAAGATTAGAATTTCAAGACGTAACATACAACCATGCGCAGGTAAAAAAAAAAAAACGCCTGGTGTATCCTGACTAGCTGAATGATAGTTTTTCGGGGGTAAGTCTCACACGATAGCTCTCTCGGTTGAAATGTTTAAACAGTCACTACACCCTGGTCAGGGAAAGATGATGCGTTAGCACTACAAGTTTCACAAATGATTATGTTGTACAACACGTATACGTGTCCAAAATATATAATATTCCACGGGATGGCACTAGATAACTGTGCCACAGAAGAATATGAAACGAACTAATTTACAGATGAGTCACTGATTTAGCAGTGACTGGATAGGAGTGCGAGAAATATGGAAAATGCGACGGCTTCACCGAAAGACATCTGCTTTTAGCTTTAGGAAATAAGTTATAGCTGTTAATTGCTAACTTCTCTCATTTAAAGGTATTTTTCTCAAAAAAAGCATATGCGTAAACTCTAAGAAAACAATTTTACATTGAGTAAGGGTAAATTTAACGAGGTATTTTTTAAGGGATGTAATCATTCCCCATTAAAGGTGGATAATGAAGAAAATGCGCACTGTATAACTACGTTCGGCAGTGTTCCTTCTGCCGAGTATATTATACATCTGTTACTTTTTATTGCAGTAAATAGGAAAATAGGTATCTTTCCATAAATCTCATATGTTTTCCTTATGACAGTCTTGGAGGGCTTGATCATGGTGTTTTCTGCTTCTCTAAGTAAGAAACGCTGACTTGTTTTATGTCAAAACTACTTTCTAGATTCTCTGATGAGCAGCTACTGTATGCATATTACAAGTGAGTGTGACAATGATGAGACAAAGAAGACAGTGTAAAGAACAAGTGAACTATCGGGCTCCGTCTTCAGAAGTATACGAAGCAATAAATAGTGTGACTTATGCAAAAATAGACTCAAGGATGGGAGTAGCACCTTCCTGCCTTGAGATCTCGGCAAATGTGATTACTACACGCTACTGTGGCTGTACAAAGCATGTATGAGGCGTAATGTGTTAAGTGGCCGAACGAGCGCTCAAAGTCACTAGAACACTTGCTATGAAAAAATGAAATATAAATAGCTAGAACACACCGTGAGAAGGCGTGATTTCTTGATTGTAACTCACAATGCGACGCGTAGATTATCCAGTTTCCCACGCGGCGCCAAAGACTGAACAAGCAAACCGTCTTCCTTTCCTTTAAAGTTACGTGGTTCTGGAGTGCTTGTTTCATTATATCTGCTTTGTTTTTCTTCATCAAGCATTATGCACACATCGTAGAGTATATCTACACGACCATTACGGCTTCAATGGCGGCTTGTGAAACTATAGAGTGGCGGAAGCGTTAGCTTTAGATTTCACTACCTGCAGTGTGGTGAATCTGGGAATTTTTCTTCTCTGTAAAGCTTTGTTCTAGCGTAAGCATGAAATTTTCGTCACTGTATTGTTAAGTTGTGTTATTTTGAACTATATTTTGTTCTGTTACCAAACGTGACAAACGATGATTAGTTGGTCTGAGACACTTTCATGTGTTAGCGTAAAGCCATAATTAGAACCACACAAGTGATGCCAGAGAAATCTGTGAACAGAAAGATAAGTAATTTTTTTTAGTTAACGTATGTTTCAAAACACGTAATTTGATATTCATAACGCATCACCTTGTGCTTTAGAACGCTACAACTACCAACAAAAATATAAAAGTGACGTGAACCAGCAAAAAAGTTTAGAGCTCTACAGTATAAAAGGACCACCTCGAAATATATTTTTATGAATAAGCGTGTTTTCGTTTAAGATTACCGAAAGTTCAGATGGTCGGCAAGAATTTTTTTTTTATAAAGGCGAGGCGTGTAAACACAGACATTAAAGCAAAGAGATGAGCAGCAAACCAGACAGGGTTCGTGCTGTATCGGCATTTTCTCTTTCGTGCGTGCAAGCACGCTTTATCTACTTTGGTGATACATTCATGCTGCCAGACCAAAAGTACATCATTTGACAAAATACAGGTATATCAGGAGTTTAGTCTGTACCTGCTTGATAATAACGGAGCTTCGAATACAGTTGGAAAGGCCTCACAGATATTTAAAATTTCACGAGGCGTTGCAACTCTTTCATTAAACTCTACAATTCCGGGCCTCACAGTGGAGTCATTTTCCCCCATTGTCTACGAACCCACCTGGACAAGTGACAACACTCTAATAAGAAAATGCCACCTGCTAGTAGGCATTAGAAAGAATAGGTTGATTCAAGAGGTTGCCGAAGACTTTCCTGCAAGGTACGACAGCGCCAAACCAAGCGATTCCTTTCAAAGTGGGGCTTTTCTCGAGGTAGAGCATAGATTTTTTTTTTCTATTAGCAGAGCTGGTTGCTCGCTATTAATCAAGTCTTCTGAACAGGTACATTAAATAACAGTGCAGAAAGCTCTAATGAAGCAACTATACATAATAATGTAAGCACACAAAACATTTTGAGACATTGTCCTGTTGGCTAGATCACTCACAAAAATGTTTAACACATGTTTCCATCATTTCAACAAGGCTACAATACCACATTTTTATGGTTACAGGTGGTACCAACTATCCAGAAAAAAACTTACACTACCAAATAATAAGATAACATAAAGTAAAGTAGTGAATTTATATTAGCTACATAAGGCAAGAACACCCGCCATAATATATTTATGTTTATTCTTTGTTCAACTCATCTCTGTTGTCTTTAGTGTGACAAGCGAAACAATTGCTGCATCTTCACTGCGAAGTCTTGTCGGTTAATTACTGGCCGTGAAGTAGTACGGCAGCGCTAGGCTCCATGTGTGTATAAGGCTGGCGACAAGAGCAACGGTGGCGCCGCCTCGGGGTAGGAACAAACAGCAGCTCTGTGGAGCCAGTTGCGACAAACGGGACTAATGGCGTAGAGTGTGCGGTGAGGAGTAGAGTGACCTCAGTGGTGAGAGCTCTTCAACCGCAACACTTGAAAAGATTCGCTTCCACGCATTGCTTCGAGGTCACGAGCTCAACACACTTTAAGAAACCTGAGGATTCACAGAAGAGCGTGTCATACGTGCATTAGAGAAATATAGGTACCGCGTGGGGGGGGGGGGGGGGGGGGCATTTCCGATTTCCTATTAAGCAGTTTCTTATTTCTAGTGGCGCAAGCTACGAGGGACGCATTTTTTCTCTTCCGTGCACTTCCAGTTGAGCACTCAATTCTGGTTTTCCGAATATTCGGAAAATCGCTTTTAAAATCTAAAGTGGTACGAAAGCTTTAGTTTAGGTTGAAGTTGAATGCTATATTGGATACACATGATATAGGATCATATGATTACCTAAGAGAAAATTCAATTAACTTGGAAGAACAGTTAGTAAATAATAACTGAATTAGCAGGTAAGGAATATCATGTCTCTTTTAGAGATGTTGTAATCTTCGCAGCACCTAGCTGAGAAGATCTGTACCATGCGCTTATTTCTGTGTGGTCTCTGAGATCCGCCTCGGTCCGCGCGCGAAGCACAATGTAAGCTTGTAGAATACACAAACACTGGCCTAAGCCAGTATATCGAGTCACTTTCACATTTCTTGTTTCATGTTCTTTTAGATGAGGCAGAAATAACCCGTACGATGCACTGGCGTGGAGTTTTTCGAATGGTGCAGTTGACGACATCTGCCTACAGTGACTGTGTTGAGCCTGTACAAATGTGCACGTGCGTGTCTGCTCAGAAGGCGGTGTCACGTGCGTGCAGTGGTAGCTTGTTGACCAGAACGCCCCACTTGTTGCGCCACGTATCCTGCGCGTTGAGAGTTGCTTCAATGGCGGCCTTCTTTTCTAGTTCACACCTGAGTTGCTCGACTTGCTCGCTATCTGTATGTTGTTGCTGCTGTTGCTGCCTTTGCTGCTGTTGCTGTTCGCGGTGTTGTTGCTGCTGCTGCTTTTGAAGCTTTTTCTCTTTCTGACGCTGCCGCCAGTGCTGCTCCAATGTTGATGGTAGGCGTTGCCACCAGTGCTGCTCGTGCCTCTGCTTGTGCTGCTGCTGTTTTGGTTGCTCGTGCCACCGTTCTGGTGCCTCCCCTCGATCGTGCTGCTTGTGACGCTGCCACCAATGCTGCTGATACCACTGTTTTTGCTGCTGTTCAAGTTCTTGTTCGTGTGTCTGCTGTTTCTGGCACTGCTTTTGATGCTTCCACCAATGTTGCTGATACCGCTGCTTTTGTTGTTCTTCCTGTTCCTTCTCTAGCTGTTTTTGCTGGTATTCGAGCTGAAGCTGCACTTGATATTGCTTCCGCTATATTGAAAACAAAAGCAAAAAACGCAATAATCTAATCAACAGGTAGCACGAAAGGATCCTTAATTCCATACACTTAGAAGCCACACAAAATCTGCACCAAAAAAAAACCAAATATCGAAAACTATAGACTGACATATTTAGACATCTCAATTCAATATTTCTGGCATTAACAGTATCTACATAGACTGAAAGAAAAGTATTACCTCAATATCCTCCTACCATGCCTGCATGAAAAGCAAAGATCAGAATTAAGAAAGTAACATTAACACTGCACATGAAGTATAGCAGGTAACACGCACATTATATGCCACAACGCAAAATACGAAACGACTTCACGGGGTATACTGGAAAATTAGGCAGGTCGTGTAGCGGCAGCAAGTGCAGAAAAGTGGTAGAAGTGTTTTGACTATGATTAAGAAATTTGGTTTTGGTTCGCGTAAGGTCACTTCATATGGACTCATAGACACCACGGCAGAATTAAAGAACAATCTGTCCGTGGCACAGCATAGCCACCTGACGCTCTACGCAAGGGCTCTTGTAACTTTCCTGGGCCCTCTGGCCACCACCAGGTATACCGTGATCAGCTTGATATGAAAAGGTGGCTCAGCGAAAAGACATGCTCACAAGTGAGGGTACAGAGAAAAAGCACGAACTCACATTCCGTGTGAGTTTGAATTTTTCTCTCGTAGTCTGGGTTTCTGCTTGTCCCTGTACCCTCACTTCTGAACATCCCCTCTTTTTTTGCACAAGTTTTAAATTTCAAACACATAGAACACTCTAGGCCAACAACGAATTTTATTGTGATGAGCTCCAACTCGTGCGCACATTTTGTTTCCGCTCAGTTCAAGTTATGTGTTATGTGAGGTGCCAACGCTCCCCCACAGCAAGTCTGATCAGAGACATGGTCCCACGCATGAGCACGGAACGGGTGCGGGGGAGAGAGCACTTGAGGAAGACATTAGGTCCCTGTCCCGTCTCCCCATATATTCTGTCTGAACATTCCGTCAGATTTTAATGTGAAGGGTAGTGGCCATGCAGGTCTTTGACGATAATGGCGGCCCACAGCCACTGATTTTGCACTCAAGGAACAGTTCACTTACAAGTTTCGACGCTATAACGCCGCAGATCAAAATAACTCGTCACACAATTTATAATGTTATGAATTGGTATGCGCAAAATACAGGCCGAAAAACGTAGAAACACAAACGGCATTTTCGATGAAGGCGAAAATGCTGTAGACCTGTTTGATCAGATTTGGGTGAACGTTATAAAACCCCTGCTGGACGAAATTTCCGGAACCCTCCACTACGGCGTCTCACAGGCTCGACCAAAGAAGGACACACGCAGAGCTTTGAATCTCAATCTGACGCTTTATAGCATACGATACAGGCGTGAACTGTGTAGCAGCATGCGTAAAAGAAATTGATTATTAGCAAAATAAACAAGCATGATCTGTTTACCGCCTGTGCAAGACATTCGGAAATTCAATTTTTTATCGCTTAAGGAGAAATAGGCCAGGCTGCTGCGCTTCACTCTGTTTTTTTTTTTTTAATATGGTTCGTCTCCAGGATTAGTCTTTTGTTTGTGCCATTGTGTCTATCAAACCCGCCATCCTGTTAAAAAGTGGCTTACGGTTGACTCGCTGTGCAATGAACAAATAAGTTGGGTAAGCGCTCATTCTTTTCGCTCTTCCTTTGGTGTCCTCGTAGTCTAACATTCGCGCAACTTGCAGGCTGCGGAATATAACTATTGCCGCAGGACAGAGGAATCCTGTACACTACTCCTGTTGCACACAGGATGAAGGCCCTTGTGTGGTACACATCGCATTCACCTTTCTTTTTGGTCTTGCCTTCTGCCGTACTTCACGCTCATGCATATGTTGACCAGCTTCTTAAGAGTCATTAAAGGGACCTCGCAACACTTTTCGAGCATAGTCAGAAAACGCTGCCGATCGGTAGTAGAGGCTCCCGACAACACGCAAGCCAAATATTATAGATCAGCACGTGGTTAGGAATTCACAATAAATTATCAAAGTCAGCTAAAAATTGCTTTCTCTTCTTTCGACAAATGGCGAAACATGCCCCGAAACTCACACGTGAAGTACCCATCTATCAGCATTAGATTTGAACATGGCGGGCTCGCTCATTACAGAGATCGCAGGAAGAGGCCGCGACTTGTCCACGCGTGCGCGCTGCGATCACACCGAAAAAGCGGCACATTCGAAGAAAAAAAAAGAAAGAAAAAAGTGCTGAAGGCCATGAGGCACTGTGAACGTTTTTCTGTGGCCTCGCCATTCCTCCCTGCTTAGCTTCCAGCGCTTTCGTCGGGACGAGAGAAGAGAGAATGCAACTGCAGGATGCGATAAACCTGTGTAACTCCACTCGCACTGGACAGATTCTTAAAATTTTTGCGACGTTGAATTCGTGAGGCACTAAGCTTTTCGAGTGAAGTCATTCCGTGGTTACCTAAAAAAGCGTTTCAGGGCCCCTTTAAAGCCACTTTCATATCATATATCTAAAAGCGTCATTTTTAAGGTTATGTGCCAGCTACTGAACGTACGGTAGTGGGGCTATGAGGCATCTACTACCTTTCTCGTGGTCTTCCAGCTTACAAGACTTTGATTTCCTTCATAACTTTCTCTCTGCAACTAGTGAGTACATAATCTGAAAACCCTGCCTTCTGCACTTTTTGAATTTGAGCACAATTACTGTTTTACACCGTCTCTGTACATGACGTCACAGGCGCCCATACGAAAGATGCAGTCAACTAATATTTAACCGCTTTGAAATAAGCTGATGGTAAGGAAATAGAGGATTTTGTCTGGTGTTAAACACAGAAGCTACTTCATCCTGTGTGCAACAGAAGTACCATTCAGGGTTCACCTGTCCTGCAGCAATAGTTATATTGTGCAAATTTAAAGATGCTCAAATGTTACACGACGAGGGTATAAGAGGAGTTTGAATACGATGAGCACGCTCATCATAATTAGTTACTTGTAGCATGCCACATCAATGTAGGTTACCATTTTAACATGAAAGAGGGGCTTGATAGATACAATTGACACGAACGAAAACCTAATCGTAGAGACAAAACGTATTAACAAAAACAAAGCGAAGTGGATCTCCCAAGCCTCTTCAAGTGACGCAGAAATTGCATTCCTTACCATCATCAAAGATGATAAACAGATTGTGGCACTTCTGTTGCTATTTTCCTAATTATTAATCAATTTCGTTGCGAATGTTGGTACACGTTCTCACCTGTATCACATAAACCTTCTGTTTAGAGTTTTTCATGTGTGCTTCCTCTGTCGTCCTTTATTCTGCGGCGTACAATTTAGTACATTTTGACTCAAGACCAAGTACATTGGCTGTCCGTTGTGTTATCAGTCATGAGAAGCATGTGATCGCTTAATATTCGTTTTAGCACCCATGCTGAAGCTTGTTCTTTCGGGAAGTCAACCAACATTAAGGAGGGAAGGCGTTGCGAGAAAACTTTGAATCACCCTCCAAATCGCCACCTAGAGTGCGTCGATGCCCGCTCCTCCACCCTGCACACGCCTATAGACACGGTGCATGTCTTTCGCACTTCTCGCTGAGGAGCCATGCCATCCAATTTTCGCTTATAATCTATGTCATGTGAGTTAATACTTGATTTCCACAAACAATCTGGCGAGGTTAAAGTGCACTTGGTCGAGTTTTTACTTATATTGAATGTTTTGAAAAACACGAGAGCTGCTCTGGAGTCTGACAACAGCAGCGCACTCGTGAGCCACGACATAACAAGCGCCCTGCTTTGCGAGCCTCTGTATTCCGGTCAACAATTTTGTTTCGTGGTCAACTGCGCATTAAAATGGAGCTATTTGAGTTTCATTCCGCTTGTCACTTAATATTGGACGATTTGCAGCGGAAAAACATAAGTAGAAGACGACGGCTCCACTACCTGAAGCGCATGACGTCACACACGCCATGGATAGAAGGCGGTTGCCGGCGGTAGGTGTGGTTAATTGCCGGCGAGCTTTAGGGCACATTTTTCAATGAAACATTATCTTACAGTAAGTCTTCACATCTGCAAAGGTAAAATAGACCGTCTAACATTACTTTTCACTGAAAACCACGATTCGGTCGGTGGTCACCCTTTAAGGCTGTGTGGTGACCTCCGGGGCTGGTGCGCCGACTCGCGAGCTCTATCCAATCAGCACATGCTCTTGAACACAAACAGGCAGTCAATTCACTCGGTGAACTCGTGAAAGAAAATGCTCTTCCATGTTTCTGTGTGTGTCTTCCCGCATCTGACAGAGTGATTACCTTGTACCGGTCGTCGTACTGGAACGGGTCGTGAGAGGGCGGAGGCGAGCGCAGGTCCTCGGTGTCGTACACGCTGTCGGCAGCGAAGTTCTCGTACGATGCGGCCAGCTTGCTCTCCCAGTCTTTGCTAGGAGACGGCGTCACATTCTCCAGGTCATCGTCTTGCAACCGGTTGCTGTACTTGCGCCGCTCCGCGGTACGGCCGTAAATCTGAGGCCACAAAAAGAAACACGGATGCGTCAGATATGGTATTCTTTGAATGGCTAATGACTGAAGAATCATACGACTTCCGAATACCATGTTGGTCAGCACTTACTTAAACCAAATTACGAGTCACAGAAAAATTTATTATGCTGGTGCGAACGTAACAGGGTAAAGAAAGACGCATGGAAGCAAGATCCATCGTGTTTTCCTATTTTGTACTTTCTGTTTTTTTCTCCTATTTTATTTTTTGTTATGTTTTCCCTTTTCGAAACAGTCAATGTGTCCCTTTATACAGTTGGTAGCGGTCAAATAGTTTCCACCTTATTTCCTCAAAGTCCTTGCGTGTGCGAGTATCACAACAACAATAGCAGCAACAACAACAACAACAACAACAACAACAACAACAACAACACAACAACAATAATAAGAAGAAGAAGAAGAAGAACAACAAAAACAACAACAACAACAATAATAATAATAATATTAATAATAACAGTAATAATATTTTATCAATGAATGAAACCATAATTACTGTGAACCACTCTGACCGAAACTAGGGTTTAAAAATCATTTTCGAAGCTGGACTTTATTTCTACCAACTAAAGCTGCTATGTAAAATAGCGCAGAGAAACTGTCCGGTAAAATATTAAGACGAAACGTACACTATATTGACTATTTTCAATTATATAGTTCTGTGGAGTGCGGAAGCATAAGGCTCAACACAGACGGACGTTCATTTATCGGACAGCCATGAACTCTGACCTTCTCTGTGTGATCGTACTTCGCGGGCGCGAAGCACACTGTGCACTACAGGAACTTACGATTCTTCGCGTGCCTCAGAAGCAAATAAGCGCACTTCGAAAATATTATGTCACGTGCGCATCCCAGTTTTCCTTGGAGCGATTCGCGACAGTCGTCCCGTCTGCACTCACCGTGACAGCTCCAAAGAGAACAATGAAGATTAGCGACGCCGTGGCGATCACAATGACGGCGATGGCCCACTGCGGCACCGGAGGCTCGGCTGATGACGAAGCCAGCGGCTTCGGACGCACCAGGCCCACCACTGCGAAGTAGTAATATAACGGACGGCAATGACGCTCAAAGCGAACGCTCTTCTGAGTATTATAACATTTCACAGTGACACAGCTTCCCACAGTAGCACGGTTACTCTAGAAAACTTTTTGTGGTAGATGGCCCTAAATCAGATTTGATCAGACGCATCACTGCACACACAATGTTCGGCATATAGGTGTGCTCGCATTTTTCCAGCATTCGCTTACACCTATCCAGGTTGGATTTCGCCTTAAACAAAGGAGATACCGCATACTTAGAAACAGTGAAAGTGATAGATACTTCCTTGCAAATTAATTTGTCGAATTTCATATCAGAGCTACCTAATGTTGATGCAAACTAATCTATATTGACAATATATACACTCGAAACACTTACTTGAATGTATTGTTACGTAAGCCTTATGCACTCGTCCTGGGTGAAATTTTGCATGGTAAAAAGCGCACATATTCAGTACTCACGTTTTTTTTCGGCTTCCTGTGTTGTCTCACACTGTTCTTAGCGTCTGTGTTTCCACGCTTGCCGTATTTACTGACATGCTACCTAGCATTGATTAGCACCCGTCAATGCCAGCGAGTGCTACCATGTGCTGATCTCAAATATGTTTTACCGATTTTGTGCTTTTGTGCATTTAATAAACATAATCTTCAGGTGCGATCCAAAAACTGATCAGTATGGAGTTACCATCGGCTTTTATTTATATACGAGTGTTAACGGCATATCTTAAGAATATTTCATGTTTCTTTATTTGTTGCAGTCAGCTCACAGTAGCTATTTTATTCAAAAAAGATGAGAACGTGAAGTACAAAGTGCTTCTATAAATATTTCTTGATAACGTGATATAAATGAACTTCTTCCGGTGTTCCTAGTTACCGTATTTTCGCATTGAACGTTCTCAAAGTGAGCTATAACTTGAGATGTCAGCCTTCAGCATAGTGTCCTCCTCAAAGAAGAATGAATGTGTGTACACCAATGAGCACTCGGTCCAGACCATGCAATGTAATTAGCCAGACTACTTCAGTCGTGGAAGCAGTTTCGTTTGAGCTATCTTGGCGGGGCATTTCCTGACATCCTAGGTCGTATCGGACTATAGGTAAACAGCGAGTCTGTCCCCTAAAAGACATTAAGTGTGTCGGCCATCTCTACATATCCTCTTCGGAAACAAAGCACACACCCTCAAACTGGGTATAAGTTGGGTCTAAGAAGAAATCCTCGCCCAAAGATCCATTGACGCCAAGCTGGGAATTGAAGGCTGAAGCGAGCTCCATAGGGTCCACGGGCCCGCCTCTCTGGTAGAACAAGACGAAGTAGTCCACGATAACACTCCCGGGGCTGCAATCAGATACGTGTACGTTAGGGTGCATAAGATGTTAGGAGTGTGAAAAACTTGGCTGGTAGGAACGTGGGGGCCCGTATTCACAGACCAACCTCACCTCTTTCTCACGTTTTTGTCATCGGTTTCATGCCTTTTTGTGGGTATCATAAACAACGTAGACTGGTATTTACAATCGAATCTAGTAGTGACATTTATCCTGTTACCGCCTTTCTGCTTCTAAAACGTGTGTAGATGGTATAGAAATTTGTGATAAACGTAAGGTAAGTATGAGGTTTCTTTATCAATACGCGCTTTATGTCACGAAGACACGGCATTAGTTCCACCGTACTTACGTCAACACAGCATGGCCTCGCCGTTAAGGTTTGCTCGTGACAAAAGCAAGGACAGTCCCAGGGTTGGCACAAATGTAAATCCGTACCCCGTCCCCCAGCCACAAGATCAAACACACAGCGCATGGGTTCCCTGCCACCTGCAGCCTCTTCCTCCTCCCCAAAAGAATTTCGTCTAACACAGACGTTTACCATACGGAGTATTGATCAAATAAAGTTGTGTGAAATTTGATTATAACACCTAAAATGATACGAATATCCGAATTCTGCGTATGCTGAATTGTGGCATAATGAACATATTACTATGCTTAACGCTATTTGTTGAGCATAAACTTCAAATCATCAAAACAAAGAGTATCAGTAAAACAGAGAATTTAAAAAGAGAGAAAAGAGAGAAAATAAAGGGTATCAGTAAAAGAAAGAAAGAGAACACGACGAGCGATGTAAAGGCCGAGAAATTGATATGAGAGGCAGGAAGGCTGCAAAAACTTTAAAGATAGAACAGAAGAAAATAGAATTGCTGATAAAGTGCTTGATAACTCCGGATAAATCTGAAAAGTAGCTTTACAGAGAAGCCGATGATTAAGTAAAGTAAAGAAAACTTCTCTTCTCTGGCTGACAAAACTGGGTTGATGTAAAAAGTGGGCCTGCGACAGACACGACATTGTTGACGGAACCCCTTCACAAATGAAAGTTTTGTTTACGTGCCGGAAGACGTAAGATTGAGGTGAGTATAAAGCGCAAAGGCCAATGATATCGTTGAGAAAAGGCAATATTGATCGAATAAAACTAAATTTTGTCTGTATCACACGACGATTGATCGGGAAAAGACTACACTCAAGGCGAAAACTTAAACTGCCTTGTGAAGAGATTCGTGCTGCATTCTAAACGAAAAAAAAAAGGCTAAGGCAAATCATCAAGGCGGACTTCAATGAGGGCTTGCCAAAAACACAGGCTATAAAATATGGTAAAAAAAGCTTTTTTTTTGGGGGCAGTCCCAGTAACGTCCGTTTAGAACGTGCATCAAACATCGTATACTAGGATCCCATTTTAGCTGCGACTGAAGAATTCATTTCATTCGCAACCTTTTTAAGCACTCTGAGCGGATTCGCCTGCCAGGGTTACAACGTTTTGAGTCACCATGTACTCATTCCTCGAACTGCTTCCTTGTGCTGTCGCGTAATATCGGCCGGTTAGTGGCAAGCACCCAAACAACATTTTTGAGGGTAACAAGAACGCTGCCTATTTGTGAGCAGACTTACATGTAGGCTTGTTCCAGTGTGTCACTTTATTCTAAGTGTAGGTACGAAGTTACGACTCCAAGGCTGACTTCGCAGATCACAATGTTCGGCCTTCCTCGCAACCTCATTCTCATTCATTTTCAATTGCCTTTGAAACTCGTAACACATAGCTTTAGATGCATTTGTTTCACTTATTTCGCTTCTCACCTGAATCCATCGATGTCTACTCGATAGAAGTATCTCCCTTCAGTGGTCTTGCGGAAAATTGAGGTGAGCTGTATAAAGAAATAAAGTAAGGACATAAATAGATTAGGTGTATGTTGGATGTTTGTCTTACAGCATGTGGCTGAAAATTCAAACAAAATATTTATTTTCATTTCAGGTGATAATCTAGACGCTTACTTGACCTACTTATTCACGGTTATTCGGCCTATCCTTCCGATTTAACAATGAAAATTACCAAAAAGGCATAAAATTTTTGTACTGGTGGTCTACGAACAATAATTTGTCCATTGCAATTGATTAACCGGCAACATTCGTTTTGTGCAAGGGCACCTTTCATCCCTAACCCATCTCTATAATGTTTGTACGCGAGTGCTAGGCATGCCATCACGGCCCCTGTATTGTAGTGTGCCCTTTAGGTAGTTTATGAAAAAAGAATATGTAGTGGCGAAGTTAAACTTTCCTCGATGTTCGCAAAACGAATCTACAGGGTGTGTTTGTTGGTTGCAAAAATAAATGGCTCAAATCGGATACTGACCATTCGCCTGATGGTGTAGGACAAGTATCGGTACTCGTGCGTGTTATGGTCACCGAGCAGTGGCGACCATTCCCATCCCTCGACGATCTTCGCGATGCCAGCCACGCGTATGACGGGTGCCTCGACTTCATTGGGCGCCGGTGTCGGATCGGTGAGGTTGAAGAACGTCGTGCGCCACGTCGGCTCCGGAGGACGTGGTGGACGTCGGGTGACGTGCAGGAGGCGCGTGTACGCGTCCAGGTCGAAGTTCGTCTCGTTGCCTGACGTCGGTTTCGGTCCGATGGGGAAGCCCTTTCGCGTCGGCTTCCCGGTCGTGATGCGCATTCGAGGACCCCGGTTGGGACGTGGTGTGGTCGCCTTTGTGTGTGGCCGTGTGCGCGCGCGGTCGAAGATCTTGGTCAGTGGTCGGATCGTGGCCTTCGTGCCCAGCGTCGTGCGGCGCGTACTACCGATGATGCCGAACGGAGCGCGAGTACCAGCGCGGCCAATGTGTGGCTTGTGCGTAGAACCCGGTGCACCGGGGGTGGTTTTGCGCGTCGGCAAGTTAAGTCCAGCGCGACCGAGGTGCTGGTGTTTAGCGACTACGACGTTGGGCGTAGTGCCTGATGGAGGAGCCGTGGTTCTTCGGGTAGGAGGACTGAATTTGCGGTGCTGCGGAGCGCTCGGTCGAAAAACTGAAATATGTCCAGAACTATTCGAACTTTTTGCTGTGGTAGAGTTTCTCCCTATTTCTGGAAAACTTATGCCTTGGTTCGAAACAATGTTCTGCAAGTCTGATGGCAAAGGAGCTTCTGACTTCGACGTGGGCAAAGATACATTATCTTTCGGCTGCCACAAAGGCTTCCTTATCATCATCGGAAAAAGAGACACTCACCACGAATTGAAGTAGAACTATTCAGACCAGTCAAGTTGACAGGCAACACAGTATTGTAATGCTAGCGTCACATTCTCCGGCACACCCAAAGTTGGCGGAACTTCATGGTTGAATAGTTTGAGATATCACTGGGTGTGGAGAGAGAATGGACTGATGTGTTTCTTTCGTCGAGTATTCGTGAAAATCAATGGTTTTCAGATTAGTTGGCTTTTCTGTCTCGTTGGACTGCTCCACCAACGACTTTTCGTGCATTATCTCGACAGCATCGTCTTCATCTGTGTAGTTCACGTAAGAGAAGATCTGGCTTCGCACTGTCGTAGTAGTACTCGCCGACGCCAAGATCTCTTCACCGTTCAGAATTTACTCGGGCTTCTGTGAGTTTTACGTTCTTTGTATTTACATGTCGTGTAGAAGCAGGCTCGTTTTGAGGTTCTTGTTCTTCTTGCTCGGGTATCACAGTGATGCTTACTTCTTCTCCTTCTGATATGTTCGTCATCGCTGCGACGGCAGGAGCTGGGCGACTGAGAAGGGACGACGAAGTGTTCCTAACAACCTCTCGTGGCGGCAACGGTGTTACCTGCTTTGCAGTGGCTGTATCTTGAGCAGTGACTGAAGATGAGGTTGTTTTTGTCTCAAGATGTGCGTCACTTAGTTTAGGAGCCACTGTTGGGTTTGAAGATGTTTCGTGCTGTTTGGTCAATGTTCGTAGTGACGTTGTGACTTCTTCCATTCCTAACAGCGTTGTCGCCCTCTCTTGTCGAGCAGAGGACTGCGCCATCGGGAAAACTGTGGGCTCGATTGCGGAGGTGACAATTTTCCGTGTCGTTGGTGAACCACTACTTCCGGTTACTGCAACATCATTGACGGCTTGACTAGGGAGGTCTTCAAGAAAAGAATTTTGAGTCCTGCTGCTTCTCTGAGCTGTGGCGTTGGACGAAACATTCTGGACGGTAGTCACAGGCGTTGATTCATCTTCACCCTTGGAAGTGGCTGTAGGCAACTTGTGATCGGCGCCTTGAGCCATAGCAGCGGCAGTGGACACCTTTTGAGGCAACGTCGTCAAGGCGTCGACAGCGACTGCAGCGCTCACCTTCTCGCTCTCGATGCTTGTGGAGTTTTGGGCGGCTCGTTCGGTCACAACTATGGAGGGAGCGTTGTTCGAAGATGTCGCAGGAACGATTGTTGTGTCTTCGTTCGTAACATTAGTCCTGCTTGACTTTTCGGTCCTACTCTGCACCACACCCTTCTGAGAACTAGCGCTCGGCTCCCCGTCAGCTGTTCCTGGAATAACAAGAAGAAACAAAAAGAGATTCATGATTACCACGATGATTTGAGAATTACTTTGGCAACTTAAATACTTGGCGGATAAATCTGTTTTCAAAAACATTGTCGAGTCATGGTTTATCCTACAATACTTCACAAAATAACCTCTCTAATTCACTGAAGCTTATTAGGAAAACACATGAAGTATCCGAACCTGTATGATTTTTTTGTTAAATGATATTACTTCTTGATATTGTCTTTTTTGTTCGTCTTTGCGTAGTCCTAAGTGTGTTGAAAATTAAATCACAATTTCTGCAGAAAAGTATTTCTCCACCTTGCATGCTCTTGTGTCTGCGAGAGCTTCAACTGTGCCATGTAGATTCGGTGCGAACTTTGTCACAAAAGAAGGCCCTGCAAGCTCTACTGCGCTTTTTGCGATCGACCCGCTTTTCTGAACTGTTATAGCCTGAACGCCCTTCCTGCATGTGTGTGTGTGAGTGTGTTTTGGTTTTCTATTCCGTGCACGTGTTTTTTTTCTCTCTCTTTCTTTCTACACTCCCTTTACTGCTCCTATTTTTCCAACCGCAGTGCTGGACAGCAAACCGGATCTCAATATCTGGTTAAACTCCCGGCTTTCCTCTTCTCTGTCTTTTATTGTAAATTATAAACTCCCCCTGCTCCAGCATACCGTTGCACACACCTCTTTCAGCAGCGTGCATTTAAACACTGAAAAAATGTCACTTTCTTGTTGTCTGTACTCTCAAACGTAAGAATACCGGCAAAGCTTTATTTTATGTTCCATACGAAGAAACAAACGGCCAAAAAATACAGCAATGTAATGTAGAATACAAGCTAGCCTATTCGTTCACACTCAGCATTATGTGCGGGCCCCTATGACATCAAGCCATTGAAACGTAAATGGAGCAATGAAAGAAAAGCCTGGCCGTTTGGCGGCGTGAACTATGGACAATCAATGCCTGTGACCCCTACTGCTTCGTTCCCATAGAGACGGGCGGACAAGAATTTCAAAACATTCCCTCTCAGAACGCTTTGTGAAGCGCAGTTTTTAATGCTTTCTTTTTTTGCACCTTATCTTGTTTCGATGCCAAAAAAACAAACATGAACTTTGTACAATAATAGGGAGGAAGGATGCCAGAGACCGATAGCCAGACCCGGCCTCGCCTCTCTCTTTGCCAAAAAACCGTATCTGGAGGGAATGACCTGCTTGGAAAGCTATAGCGCGTTACGCAAAAACGAAAAGTATTATTCTTGAATATTACAAACAAAAAACACCTAAATACACCCCCGTGATGCGGTTATTTGTTTCTGGTAGCGATCTTCAGTCAATTGTATTTTTTTTTCATATTGGCGATTTCTCGGCATCTCGTGGGTTACCTTAGTGTGAGCGTTTTTTCGCGCTCTTAGAACGTGTGCGTTTATACATAGTAAGCAATCTTTCAACAACATTGTCAGGAGAAGCAACGACGTATATTACGAATGCGAACGCATCCACTGCGCGTTTACTTTTCTACCTAGGATGCATAAATGCGCCATTTCACGAAAGCCATCCTTGGAGTAATGAAGACAGGTTTCGCCGCAATGACATCAAAAGAATCTGTTGAATCGTGTGCATGTAGATAATAATGGACTTGTCGGTCTTCTCACTATGACATTCGTTCTCTGTCCAGGCTCGTTGTTTTAACACAGATCGTTAGTGTCAATCTGCATTGTACAAATATTTTTGCAGTGAAGTGAGCCCCCTAGACATTTCAATCATACATTCATTGAACGCCTGTATGTTCTCATTAGCCTGTATTTCAACTTTGATTATTTATCAATGAAATTCTCGTTTCATTGCACAATGAGCGATAGACCGCATTTTTCCAACCTATTTTCTCGACCAGACGCCAACACCATAGCGCAAATCTGCACAAAATAATGAAGCACATCAGTTGCCGTCACCTTGTAATCATAGCAGGTCACATTTCACAAGTTTGATCTAGATATGCAAGTAAGAATTCAACTCACCAAAGAAAAGTGTAATGTAAGCTTGCTAAACAGAATAAAATGAAGTGTGGCTTTGGATCAGTGATGTATAAGCCGTAAACATCATGCTAATAGTTCGAATTGCAAAAAATTCGACATTTTCGAAACTCTTGACGGCTTTTTATGCATCTGCCGACAATATGGTATGCGAAAACAATCACTGACGGAAACGCACCAATCATCTAAAGATGTTCTTTTAGAATCTCTGTCTCTTTTTGTCATCAACATAACAATACTATCGTTTATAATATCAACAATGGCCAAAATGCTCTCACGGACACTTATCTACTTAATAGGGTGAGAAGAAAATATATCAAAACTATCTTTCTCTTGGGCTTGAACTTTAACCACCCGCATAATTTCTGACGTGTTTTTTTTTTTTTGCAGTACAGGGGCTTACCCTTAGTAATTATTCTATCGCATCTGGGTGAAAGTAAATGAATTGCACTGGGGCATCCTTAATGTAACATTAAATCATCTGCAAGTTCAATGAGGCAAAGGAAGTCAGAAAAAAGTAACCCAGTTTTGTAAGGCCCTGCAAGTCCTTATATTTTCCCCATTCGTAATAGAAAGTCACCAAAACGTTTAAGGTGAAAAATTCAAATTTTGTATTTACCACGCGAGAGTCTATAATTGGAGAACTAGAAAAACTGGTCATAATATAAATTATGTGGCTGATTAAAAACTAATTGCCAAGCATAGAGGTGACAAACGCTTATCTAATTTAAAAACAAGATTTAAAACAAAACAGCCTGAAAAGATGTCTAAAAAGGTCGCTTTAAAAAATATCAACAATCATCCATTCGTCCTCTTGTATTGGGTATTCCCATTCACGATAATAGAGTAATTCCACAAGTCGCAAAATAATATTTACGTCTCACGTATATCAGAAAGCGATTACGCTAAGGAAGCTTCTAAAAATGCCAATAGTAATTTCAGGCAATATTCGCGAAAGAAGCCAGACAGTAACAAAAAACTTCGAAGTAATAAGCTTAGTGAATTTGGCGAGACATAAAAATGTAATCTATATAACAAATAATTATCATTGTGAGAAACAAATACATACGAAGTACAAAATTACCATATTTTCATTGCATGGAAGAGCGCAACAACCGCAACCTCTTCTTAGAACTTAATCGAAATTATCAGTTTTTCCTTAACAAGATTACTATTCTAAGCAAGTTGGCGAACGACGCCATTATCTTCGTGAACGTTAAAGTGTTAAAGTAAAGATACACTTCGTAACATAGCTTCCATTAACTATAACATGGAAGGCAATCCTAGAAATATGTGGGAAATGCAGCAACACAAGGCTGGTTTAAAGTATAGCGATAGAATTTTCGAGTACACTGTCATAGTATTTAACACTGCCATCGAGGTACTTTATTAGGCAAACACACTCCTGATTTTTCTTGTAATGATAGAAAACACAGCCTGACTCAGTACTCAAATGTATTACCGTCGGAACTTCATTATGTTGAAGACAATTCCGAAGTGCCACTTCGCCTGCCAATTGGTTTCAAAACTGAGTTTGCGATATCAGTTGGCTTTGAAACAATCACACTCTTTTTTTTAACTTTTGTTACCAATTTGCTGCTTCGTTTCTTCTGCCTATAGTAGCACTAATTACAAAAATAACGTTTTCATTCCGTTCGCTTATAAAACCAAGGTTCATAAAAGTGACATCATCTTGAAGTCTGCTGCATATACGCATTATATTACACAGTATTCTGATATATGATTGTAATAAGCTTACGACAAACTTTTTAACGAACAAATTTATATTGTTGCAGACAGACGACGTAGAAGCTTGGCTGCATGGGTGCACTTTTGCGAAATCTGTGTCTGGAACGCCTGAAAGCAATTTATATTTATTAAAAATGAAACTAGAAAAGAGACGGGTTCGCTGCTCTAGAACCACAAGAGAAAATTCCAAGCTATCTCCCAGTCTGCAATTATTACTTGCACTCAAACGACCCCCCATGAACAACTTACTGCTGTATTGTTCAGTGTCTGGAAGTGCGCATTGCGAACGCAAGAAACAGTACGTTGGGTTTCTTTCAAGACAGCCGTTGCTATATTCTTAGATACCATCTAAAAGAACGCTTTACCGAATTAAGCTGTTACGAATCCCTCATGGGGAAGTACTGCGCGTGGCGTCTTCAGTACTTGACGGCAAGAAGGCCTCAACGAATGAGAGCACTTACACTGAGTGTTACACAGCCTTACAAATACAAGAGCAGTACAAGAGCACTTGTGCAGACCATCTTCCAGGTCTGCGGTACTTTGAAACAATGAACATCGCTCTACTTGAAACGATGACTGTGTTAAGCTGCCAGATCTTCAGTATAGTCATGAAACTAGTATTTTTTTATAATGACGATGCACGTGCGTATTTTCGTTTGTTAACGCAAAGCTTTATGTAACTATCGACTGAAAACGATGGAGACTATTTTTTTGTTGGGGAGAGGTAATAAAGGCAATGTGGGGAGCATGAAAGTCTGAGTAAGTTTACCGGGTGCATACAGTGGTAGTCGACAAAGTTGTGCTCATGGAATCTCCAACTGGTGCTACCTCGTTGAGTCATAATGTGATTTGCATACAGATTTATCGCGGTATAGGGTTTTCTACGCGTCTTTGATTACTTCTCGACAGCTACTTTTTCCTTATCATCATGTAACGTTTTGTACTCTTTCGGAACAAGCCGGCATTGTATTCACGTCAGCCTTGAAAATTGGGGGACCTTTAATTTGCCTGTGTTTTTATACGAGGTTGCCGATTATGTTAATCAAACACCTCTGTTCAAAATCAGCACTTATCTTTGATCGCGTTTTTGTGCTACATCAGCTTGCTCTCAAACTACAACCCAAGAATATTATCACTAGTGCACTTAGCTAAGCAATTTCGTAAGTCATAGTTGGCTGCTATCGCGTGTTTTACCACGTTGCGCAGTCCAGTAAGAAAGTTGCACA